TAGTACTCTACTTTGTGATTTGAAAACCCGCGTTGTTCACGGTTCTTTGTTGAGAGTGCATTTTGTCCCCTTTAGTAAATTGCTGAAGGGGCTTCGCGGAAAGCATAAGACGCTCCCGACTCATATTCCTGACATGTGCAATCCAATAGTTCAGTCAGCCCTGGTTCTTAATGTTTAGCGCTAAACAATTAGATCATGATAAAGTAAGGCGACTGCGCTTTCCTCCTACGATAACAAGATAATTAATTTACTATTTCAAATGGTGTCGAAGCGTCTTAGGTGCAGATTTCTTGTTAATAGATCGTATGTCCTACGGGCATCATTTTGCTTTCTTCGTACCGACTTCCCACAAAGACACGCCAAAACACCGACAAAATGCAAGTTCAACAATGTAATATTTCAGTTTAGATCAATAAACTAAGATAGAGTGTCCGATACTTAACGAGTTTGTGGGTCTAATACATCCCCATTGTTTGATTTTAAAGAGCTAATGCTGCGCCGACAAGTCAATATCGTTGTTTGCAGAATCTTTACAATATTACTGGGTCCACTCCCTTGGTGTTTTTGTGTGTGTATTAAAAACTACTGTTTCATTATTGACCATTAACTCCACTAGGAAGCACTTATCGGAAATTGTGATCAAGACCTGGACGATATAATTATATAATACAAAATACCCGAATAGTGTTAGATCGGCAAATTTGCAGTGAAGCAAATATTTCCCGAAAATAAGTCATTGATTCACATTATTGGAGCACGTCAAAGCCGAATCCGACGCTATATTCAACAAATGCACTTTCGTTCTAACCATAAGCTATATTTACCGTATAAAGCGGGAAAAGCCAAAACTACTAAATGCTGCCGGTTCCTTTGAAGTCATTCTTTCTACCCTTTTTATGATTTTTTACGCATTTAGATTAATTTAGCCTATAAAACACCACGCATGGTAGTTAAATACGTGAAAATGTAAACAAACAACTAATCCCGAAAAAAACACAAAACAAGAGTTTATAAGTAATTTTGATAGTGTGACAACCATGTGGGATATGCTCGTAGGTCACATATGATCATGCGCAGTAAGTAATGTGCGAGCTTTCATATGAAACGACTGAAAGAGACTACACTGTGTTCCTTGACGGTCGTTTTTGCTTTTCCTTTGAATTTTAAGATGAGCATGATCGCTACGAATGCATTATTTTGCAATGAGACCCCGAGACCAAAATGGCACAGGGAGACTTTCGCATTCCATTCCACAGATTTCTCTTCAAGAACTAGAATCAACCACTCTAATAACCCTTGATTTTTTTTAGGTTTATTGCAATAATCTATCCACTTCGTCCTCAACCAACCACAGGAGATGCTAAAAAGGTTATTTTCGTGGTATGGCTGCTGTCGCTAGCTTTAGTATCGCCGTATATAGCAGTTCTGCAGCATAAAGATCGCCAATGTTATGAAACATTCAAGGACCGAGGGATGAACGCTGGGATATACACTTTATCTATCTTTATTCTACAATATGTCTTGCCTTTAACTCTTATTGGGCTGTCTTATATACGGTGAGTAATAACGATTTAGACGGTATAACTTTTGCCTACAACTATCTCATGCAACATGCCGAGTCATCCTTACAAAATGGCTACAACTGTCAAAGGGTTTTCAAACAATCTCTACGACAGTTGTTGCTATGTTGTAGTGATAACTTAGGCACGTTGCGTGCCAGTAAGCATGCTCAAAGAATATGTGTCAACTCAACAAATTTGCAATATGAATGTGTAAGAAAGCGAAACACGAGCAACGTCCAGCTTGTCGCTCAGTCAACATAACTAATGCTCGAAATAGAAAATAATACAAAAAAATGTAATTTGGGCAAACTGGTCAGTTGGCCCTACCAGTTTGCCCTGGCATGGCTACAGTAATTACCTAGAAGAATCCATGATGGCAACCGCACTTATAAAATGAAATAATGCGCGTCTAGTTGAGCATGCTGTAAAAAACAAGCAACGAACAGCAAAGTTCTTTTATCTACGACAAGTTTGTCGAACTTGCAACAAATGTTTTCGCAGCTTTACAAGTTGAATGAACATCATGATCGCAACTTGAGCATGGCAACGATGTTGTTAATTGTAAATGAAGTCATTGAGCTATATAACAGCTTCTTTAATAGTAAAATAGTAAATTCATAGTAATAATTGTCTTGTTCGTACAGGATTGGCCGTGACTTAAGACGAGACAAAGGCTCATATTCAAACGATGCTCTTCAGCGGGAACAAGAAAAAGAGGCTCACAAAGTCGTTAAAGTATTGACTATTGTAGTTATTGTATTCGCTCTTCTAATGCTGCCTAATCATATCGTTTTCATCTGGATAGACTTCGGTAATGGAGGTACGTCGCCCTTTGTATTTACCCCATACATAACCGCACCCACACCACCACCCGTCGGGAATTTCTCCGTGAATCTTCGTCATAGTAGTGAAGGGTGAGAGACGGTTTTGCACACAGGATATTATTCTTACCCACACGAAGAAACTTTCTAACTAAGTTCAATAAGATTAACCTTATATCTATCTCTGTCTATACAACAAATGTGAGGCCATTTTTGTCTAATGGTGTTGTGGAAAGGGCGTTGAATTTTCAGATTCGTGAACAATTAGATATCGATTGAAAGCGATATTTTTTCATTTATAAGGTTGAATGATGGAAACCCAATATTTAGTTCTTGAAATTTTACAGCCAAAAACATCATATATATATACATTCATATCAAAAAACCGACATCACTGTTAAAATAACGAGCAAAGGGGAATTGCTCTAAGCTAACACAGATAGATGTGAGATTACATTTACCCGAAGGAGCAACACTCACTCATTCAGTCATTCACAAATAGCTTTCACCATAGGACGGAAATGAAAAAAAGAATACAGAAAAAAAAAACACAAAAGAGAAAGAAAGAAAGACATACAATAAATGAAAGCAATCGAAAAAAGAATTACAAAAAAATACAACATGAAACATGAAAGGGAAGCAAAAGGAAGAGAAAGAAAGAGGAAATAAAATCAACCACTTCATTTCAAGAAAGTCACTACCACCTCTATTCAAATAACACATGTTTTGCATGTGTTATGAGGAAGGAAAGCTGAAAATCCAGCTTCTCATTTATTTGTTATCTATTATTTATGTTTTTATGCGACAAAATTTCTTCCATTTAAAATAAACATTGTTTATACTTCGAGTCAATCGGCATGGATAAAAAATAAATCACCTTAATTAAGTGGAGCACAGAGAGGCAATTTACCGTTGACCGCATCAGTACAAGAGGTTTAATTAATATAATTTTACTTTGAAGCACGAGGCATTGGATATAAATTCGGATAAATTATCTTAATAAAGTGGATTTTCAATGACAAGGATACAACATTTAATACAATTTTCTTGTTTTTTTTCAGGTAATCACAAATACATTGACGACATCGTTTCGCTGGGTCAGATTTTAGTATATTTCAATAGCGGGACAAATCCGCTCATCTACAACGCTGTAAACGAACAATTCAGAGAGGGATTTCGACTATATTTTCAATCCTGGAAAGAAATTATCTTAAAACTGACAGGAAAGCAACAGAATTCTGAACAAACGCATCAAAATGGCGGAGGACATTGTATGGTGTGCTCAGCCACGGGAAGTGAGAACGAGGGTCATGGAGACGAACTTAAAAATAACAATAATACTTCGACTATTCGATGTGCAGAAACAAGCGTAACAAATGACGATGCAACGGCAAATCTTTTGACCAAAGTATGAGCTTTCAAAACAAAGTACTGTACCAGCGTTCTTTTTCCCGATACACGCGGCTCGTTTTCGGCGCTTCTTCCATCGACTCTACCTCGGCCCCTTACCGTTCAAGTCGAATTCATGCGCAGCCCTTGATTTTATAAAAGTCTCCAATATCAGAGCAGCTATGGTTGACAGAAACAAGCTACAGCAAGAGGAATGCATACATGTAAAGTTGAAATGACCTTACACTTAAGAAGACGTGAAAATATCTTCACAAAATATTCGGGTGAACTAGTAAGGAGCGTTTCGGACGTTCATCCTTCGTCTAAATAGCAATTTACCGCTAGTTTCACCATTTTGAACTTATAAGCCATTGTAAGGAATAAACTCTGAATGGAAATCACGGATTAGGTATATAACTTTGGTGTCATTGTAGGTTTGCATAAACGTACATTTATATCTCCGTCTTTTAATACAAGTTTACTGAAAATGTAAAACAAAATTTATGACGAACGACAGAACTAAAACTTTAAGATCAATAATACGTAGACTCATTACATAACGAGATTGGTGAACACCATTATTAGTGAAACAGTTATGGGCATTATTTGGTGACTATTTATCTTTGTAGTATAAGTTTTTAGTAAAATATTTCTGAATTATGTTCTTTCTTCCAAAGTAATCTAACTTGTAGCGTGAAAAGCGAAACAATTTTGCAAATAATGATCACTTTTTGTAATTCAAAAAAAAWTGAATCTTACGGACCCGAAGGCCGTAGAATAGTGCCCGTAATCGATTGTAACCGCTATTGGTGTTCGAAATATAGGGGTGCCCGTGATAAAGAGGTCATTTTACAAAGAATACAAAGGGAAGAAATCGCAGTGTTGTCAATGTAAATAAACTCCAAACACCATATTGTAATAAGATAAACTTGAAAAAAAAGAAACTAAAAATGAAAGCGTTAATTTTTAAAGTACTTATTTTGCTAAACAATTAAACGATTTGTTTATTTTGCTCGGTAATTTTTTTAACATAGCAAAGTTCAGTTCGCAATATTAACTTAAATATTTGCGTATTTATTTGCACGTGAATCGTAGATTTGTACAACGTTTGTAATTGTACAACTTTTATGTACAGATTAATAGATTGATGATTTTCTACTAAGGACTATAGATATCCTTAAAATTAAACGCTAACTTCCAGTAATTACTAAATAAAAGAGTGCCGTATGTGTTAAATTACCGTTTTAATTAGTGTAGACAATGAGTCGACAATCTCGACAAATACAACGACTGAATAGCGCCGGAATATTAAATGTCGATATAATTAAAACACATGATGAACTTCAGTTCACAATCCCTTATATTAAAAAAGCCTTTAATATAAAAAAATAAACATAAATCATGAAAAAAAATCATGAAATGAAAATACAAATGTCTAGCGTGGCTTTTGATGGCGCGCGCGCCAAGTTTTCCCGCCTTTTTTGTGTCAGCTTTCTTGGTTACTATTTACTGATGTTTTTGCCTGCTTTAGTACACGAAGTCGAATTTTATTCTATTTTGTTGCTCAAAAGAACTCAATTATTCCATTAGATGCTTAATTAACCATAAAAGAACCCATGTCGCTTCCAACCCTTTTGATCGTAACGGTAAGAAAGACTGGCTACGTTTCTGCTATGATTGTGGGTAGAAAACTGAAGCTTTTGAGATTTTGTCTCGAATAATAATTTCGTCTCTACTAAGATGGTATTATACTAACCAATTTCTCTTTTTTCCCATGATCGTCTTGTAAATCAAAATCCTGAAAAGATAAAAATATAATATGATTTTCCTGAACACTTGACGGCATTTTGTCTCTAGGCTTCGAAATATTTTCTATCCTGTTAAACCTCTCCTCCCTCTCCATAGTTTTATCATGAAAATAAACTCGCGTTTTGCATTTTAATGATTAAAAGAATTCGAGTAGAAAAAAAAGCGCAGAAAAAAAGCACTAGAAAAAGTGGCGGAACGTTCTTTCAATTTACGGGAAAACTTTACGGATGGATTGAAGGCTTTGGGAAAGCAACGCCATTTTGTGACGTAACAGAGTTGGAAAATCTGCGAATTCATCGTTTTTTATCGCAGTTAACCTAGACAGTAATCGTCCGTTAATAAATAATCAACAAGAAAAGGCGTTCTTACTGGTACTATTTACTGGTCTTTGACATAAAATAACCCAAAATATCACGTGAACACTTGGTGATCAGAAAAACAAATTGCAAATCAGCAAATCAATATGAAAAGAAATGAAAATATATGATTATTATTAAACAAATATACTGATATAATTATTACCTGCATGTCATCTGTCTAATGACATTTTTATTTTACCAAATAAAGACATGATTTCAAAATGTCAGCAACAAAAGTCACCAATCCCTCCCTAGTTCAAAATTGCGATTGTTTTGTGGCAGTAAAATTATACATTCGCATTCGACCAAACAGCGGGTACAGCTAAAAAAAGTTACTCTTCAAAATGTGCTTTCTTTGAAATGAATTAAAATTCGAAATATTTTTGCTAAACAAGCCTTGAAGGGTAATTTTATCCTCATAGTACCCCCGGTGGGTAAAGGATGACATCTTTCCCTACCATAGAGAGTAAAAAACAGGCGTGAAAGTACGAACGGTTCATTTCAGCCGACACCTATGCTAGCATCCATTTGACAGAAGATACTGGGAAAAGACATTTTAAACACCAATATTTGATAAAATTCACAATGCAAATTGGGTTTCTTGGCGCTGGTAAAATGGCTCAAGCTATGGCACGAGGTCTGCTCGCATCAGGTAAGCTTAATCAACTTATTATTGATTTTGTAAAAATATAAATAATTATTGTAGTCGTAAAGTTTCGTCGAGACACTCCGAGTGTAGTTCAAAGAGGAAAAGTTCTAGTAATGACCAAGTTATAACCTTTTTTCAATGACAAAAGCAGTAATGGGTTTGTAAATTGTCCGAAGCCGGTAAACTTAAAATCACTAATTTGCGCTTTTTACCACGAAGACCTCTACCTATACATTTTATAGTTGCAATAAAATGTAGCATTGTTTCCTAAAGGATATTATTTTACGTATCAATCTAATACCACTAGAAAATAAACATATCTATAAGATTATTATCCATGAAATACCGATAGAGACTTTCATAATAATATTCATATTGAAAAAAACAAGTCCGAATATTATTAGCCAAATGGGAAAAATTAAATCAAGACCATTTTGATCAAAGAATGTTTTTTGTGTTAAAAGGAATTTCTGTTTTTCATGGTCTTCGAGGGGTTAAATTCATACAAAAGTTATAGAGTGACATGCATTATTTTGTTGTTATATTTGTGTTTTGTGATCCCACTTTGATTTACCACCAGCCGAGGAGCCTAGCAACGCCGGTCCGCGTCACGGTGCAAAAACTTGGAACAGACTTTGACCAGCTCTGAACAACACAATAAAATGATGAAATACTGTGTCCTGTTCCTCTTTTACCGGTTTTACAAAAACAAATCAGGTTGAGATACAAGGAATAAAAGAAGCTTCCTTGCCAAGCGCTCAGTTAATTTAGGTTTTTAATCTGATTTTTGGGCGAAACATTTCGAAAAATGAGGTCAACTTTAAATCTATCTGCTAAAATTGACAACAATTTTTCGTTATGTCGTCTATTCGTAACATAGTTCACACGGATGTTATTTTTTGTTTGAATTTCCAATAAGCATCAATAGATGGTTAACTAAGTTGTCAAACGTTTACCACAGACGAAGTTCACAAAGCCGGCAAATACATGTTTTGCAAATATAAACAAATCCTTGGCGGATTGTTCGAGTGTGAAAAAACAACCTTGTTTTTAAAAGTAGGACAAAAAATTATAAATAATTATGAGAAATAGATTATAAATAATTATGAGAAATAGTTTATGGATTTGAAGAAGGAGGCACTAATGAGACTAGACTGATTCCATAAGTCGTAGTATTCGCTCCTCGATTTTTCGGTTTGTCGCTCAAACTAGCCGGGAGCAGAAAAAAAGAGCGACCTGACAGACTGGTGGAATCAGGCTATAATGAGACGAAACACGAGAATGTTTTAAAGACGGCAGGAGCAACATACATTTAATATTTTAAAAACTATTAATTATATTGACGCAGAAAAACTGACATTATTAACGCAGAAATAATTGTATTCTCAGGTACTTTTACAAGAGACAGAATTATTGCAAGTGCTGTCGATGATTTGTCAGCCAATGAAATGAGAGTAAGTAAGTTTGTCCCTTCTCCTCACCCCCTCCCCCTACAACTGCTTTTTCTGCCTTGACACAATATAGTGCTATATTATTTATTATATTAAATATGAATTCTAATGTTAATCTCTTACTAGAATGTCATTAAAAAAGAGATTGAAGCAAATGATTTCATTATAACTATTATTATCAGCCTCATTAGCATCATAATTATTATGATTTATAACTATGATTACGATAATGATGATTATTATTATCATTATCTGCTTTGTTTCAAATGGAGCAATTGTGGTAAATAATAAACCATACACTGCAAAAGAATTAAAGATGTACTCATTGCATTCAAAGTAATCTAATCTTCAAGCTCAAACAAAATATCATTCAAATTGATTCTTTCAGAGCCTTGGTGTTGAAGTCACCAATAACAATTATGAGGTTGTGGAACAGAGAGAGATTGTAGTAGTAGCTGTGAAACCCAATGTTGTGCAAACAGTTCTCCAACAAGTTTCCCCAATTGTCACTCCAGAAAACCTAATTGTATCTGTAGCTGCTGGAGTTCCACTTGGAATAATGGAGAAGGTTAGCTTGATTTCTTTTTGAGGTGGATTCCCTTTAGAAGAGGATGGAGGTTTTAAAATCAGTATCATAGCTGCACTTGATGTGTGAAGGAATGAGAATGCCCTTCAACTAAGTGGACCCTTTTAGTAATATTATCAACAAAAGTACTTCAGCTAGCCTTGGGTGAATTTTAACCAGTTCATTTACAAGGAAAATTTTATCACTGCAATGTCCATCAATGTCCTTTTACTGCATTCCCACTTTCTTGCATAAGGAAGTCCAGGGGGAGTGAGGAAGTTCTCCCCAGCATACTCTATCAGTATTGATGAAAGTGCCTTAGGGTCTGCTATTGAAAAGTCATGTTGTTTGCATCATGCCAAACACACCAACATTTATTACCATCTCAATACAAAAATAATTATTGCCCAACTAACAGACTGAAAAAGGTGCTTTTAATCTTCAGTGTTTGCCATGGAAAAGTCGAGTTATTCGTGTCATGCCAAACACACCAACATTTATTACCATCTCAATACAAAAATAATTATTGCCCAACTAA